GCTGGATCAGCTGGAACAGCTTTGTCCTAGGGTCGTGCAACGCCCCTTTTCGGCTAGCATTTAACTGGCTGACTCCCTGGCAAGGAGGACCAGCTGACACCAACACCACTTTAGCACGTTGGAAGCGCCTAGCCCAATTCAACACATTGGCCTCTGAGATTTGCGTGACATCATCTTCAAACAGGACTGATGGGAAAGCGCGTTCCACGACCCTCCGGGCTGGTGCGGCACATTCAACGGCAATGTAACCACACACATTGGCTTCAATGAGCTCAAGAGCTACTCGACATGCTCCAATCCCATCAAACAGCGAGATGACCAACACACCGTCATCGCCTAAGAGGTCTGGTTGTTCCCCCCTTACGGTCTTAAATGCGGCCTGCTGCCCCATAGGAGTAAGACCAACAGATTGGCAGACCCCGCCTCCGTGCTCGGAAGCGTCCGAGCAGGTGACAACCTCCCTGAACTCGGCTCCAAAGCAAATGTAGGCCAGCAAGCCAAGACTAAGGCTCAACCAGAGTTCTTTCTTAACCTCAGTGGGTATTGGAAACATGGCAGTCCCCGAAGGATCCTGGCGCCCGAGCTCTACCAGAAATGACCAACATTCATTAAGGTTGGCCATCAGCGGACGGCGGAACTGAAAGAGGTACACCAACCCTCCCAAGGCAATTTGCAACTGCTTTAGGCTGGCGACAGTTTGACACAGCAAGAAGAAACTTGCCCTGAGGTACCTGACGAACTTTTCAGGCTTCGGGTAAGCTATATTCCTAACTCCATCTACCAGGGCACCTTGCACTTCAGCTGTCGATGCTCGGCTGACAGACTTCTTCTGGTTGGCTGGCACTTTCAACTTCTCGTACTCTCGTCTAAGAGCATCCGAAGAGGGGGCTCTGGATCCCTTCAAGACTTCTGCGGCTGACGAGTTAGTTTTCTCTAACAGGTCAAAATTGTCCAAGTAAACTCGGTATCCAACCTCAGACTGAGGGAAAGTCGAGTCACGCCTGAACTCACACTCGGCACCAGGTCCTACCTTGGACAGATCTCGCTTGACTATCTCTCGGTGGATGTGTTGAGCTACTGCTACGCTATTGATGAACCCCATTGGCAGCACACGACTGGTAAGCACGTGGGGACGGCTGTCTCCCGGAGGCCTCAGCTGATCAGGAACCTCCTTACCGAAAGCCAAAAACGGGCGCCATTGAGGTCCTAGGCCAACTATGTAAAACATAGCCCTGATGTCCTCTGAACTTATCAAGAGGTCCTCATGCGGCCTTACCTCTAGCCCGCCTAGCGATGTCACCATTGGTAAGGTTCCCAAGTCACCCTCAACTGCTAGGAAATTACGGTTAATGGGGCGCAGATCCATAATTAACCGCAATACTTCGTGTCCGTCAGGGGTGGTCTCATGCTTAGGCACCCCAAAGAGTCCTCCCAGACAAGGAGATCCATGCACATGGAAAACATCCTCCACTGCAATAACCTCGCAGATTCCTCGTCTCACCAAGCCTAGAGACACTTCGTCCCAATCATCATCCTTGATCATAACGCGAGGGGTCTTCATGCTAACCCTCTCATCCAACGGCAACAAATACTTGGTGGGGTGTTCCAGAAAATCTAGTACTCCCCCAGTGGCTACCATCTCCGGCGATAGCACTCCTGCCTGCTCTGCAGTCGGGAGGCTCGAACGTAGATTGGCCCAGCCCACCGACCTGCAATGGTGGATTTCTTCACCATATGCGTTCACGCTCTTGGAATTCCAAAAATGTTCAATGGAATCCTCGGGAATCATGCAATTGAACAAGTCCTCATTCCTAGAGAACACGGAGACGAATTCAGACAGCAGTTTCCTTTGTCCAGGTGATCCAGCCCCCATGGGCGATTCTGGTGACCCCACGGTCATGACGTTCAGGGCATGCACACCGGCATGGCACCAAGAACCCCATTTCTGCTCCTGGCAGTCTGGGAGAGGGAGCGGGAACAAGTCCCGTCCCGTGATGGGTATGCTGGAGTGAACAGCATCCTTGATTTGTTGCAGCTTCTCCCAGGCCAGGAGTCGTGATCCCAAAACGCTTAACTCTCCAACTAAGAGCCCTCGGTTATTAGTCCTAGCACGGGGTGGCAAAGGAGGGATTCGAGGCTGCGGCGGTCTAGTACAATCATAAATTGGGCATGCACTGGTACACTTTACGGCAGGCTCTAGGAGGGGGCAACTACCTGAGTTTGAGCTGCTGGCTTGCCCCCCTCCCAACGCTTCCCCTTGTCCTTTCCCTCGCCCTTCTTTCCTTTTCCTTTGCCATCCCCCTTCCGGTCCCCTTTGGGGGGTTCCCAACGACTCATCCAACGATTCCCCCCTGCGCTTCCTCGCAGCTGGGTCTCCAGGCGCTCTGATGTCCGTTGTTCCTGGGCGGCATTGTGTCCCTCCCCTGCCGACAGCAACCGAGCGGTGTCGGGGAGAAGCACTTCGACCTTCATGGCCGTCTCGGGGGATCCCCCCTGAGCCATGAGTTTTAGGCTCTTCATCCGTTGCATGCAGATGTCCATTGCCCCTAACACATTCCCCTCTACCAAGCTGTCTAGGCAGGTTGCCAGCGTTTGGAACTCTCTCCTCATGGGTTTGCTCGGCATTGCCCCGCTCTGGACAACCTGTTGGCGGTAATACTTCATCATGACGGGTCGAACTTCGTCTCCCCCCGAGGAGAAACCTTCGGCTTGCCTCAGGAACTTGTTTGCCTCCGACATCCCATGTCTGGTGAGGAGGCCGGGGCACTTCTGGGATATGCGTCTCACTTGACTGGGCTCCTGGAACAATCCTCCGCTCTCGGCTGAGTCCTCTGATGAGGAGCTGTTGCTTCCCCTGCTGGAACTCCCTCCATGATCTCGTTTCACCCTGAGACGAGGCTTCTTGAACATGGGGTCTATGCTGCTGCCTCTCCAGTTCCATCTCGACCTCACTAGCATTTCTTTGATGCGTTCCTTTGTGCGTCTGTGAGGCCCTCCTGATCTCTTTCCCTTCTTCTTCTTCCTCTTCTTCTTCTTCTTCTTGACCCCACTGCTCTCCCCACTGCTCACCGAACCCCCGTCCCGGTCCTGCAAAGGATCTGGCTGGCCTGCTCCCAATCGAGGAGCGCTCGGCGGGGCCTGGGGCATCGGATTTTGGCTGAAACCCATGGCTTCGGCGACTTGATGCAACTGACCTAGATCTCCCTCTCCAGGAGTCGGGCTGCTTCCTACCACTGGATTTCGGCACCAGGGCAACGCAGGATCTGGCTCTTTCATCAGAACGGGGTGGAAAAACTCCGGTCCCCGGGCTGGAACCTTCATCACTCCCTCTGGTATAAACAACTCTCCTGCTAGCCCGGCCCGGATTGCTCCATGCACGTACTCTTGGACGTGAAGATGAGGGCTCCCACATACCTGCAATTTAAGGTAGTTACCACTGGAATCCTCAAACCGTGCAGTGATCTCACCTGCTACCTCCACAGGGTTGTTGCAATAAGTTCCCTTCAAATGCAACTGCGATCCAATCCAAATGGCACCTGAGTCAAAAGGAAGGAATGGATTCTCAATCTCAGCTTCCTTGGGGCTCTTGCCGCCCCGGCTTTTCTTAAGGATACCAGGCCTTTCAAGCTCCTTGTTAAGCTTTGGGCTCTTTTTGACGGGGAGTTTAGCAGCTGGCTTCCTTAACACGACCTTTGCAGCAGGGCGTCGCACTGGCATCCCACACTAAGCCTCTGGCGGGCTCCGGCGAGGTTCCCCTCGGAGTTCTACCTAATCCAAATCGCTCAGGACCTCAAGCGAGCGTCCTTTCCTGGCCCAGGCCTCAGCCTGCGACTCCCCTTCCAAGGGAACCGGCCTCCTGATGCCGGGAAGCACTTCCTCTGCCTCCTCCAACTCCAAGTCCCGCTCGATCTCCTCCTCCCCCCTGGGGCGGCGATCTCCCAAGAGGTCCAACGCACGGAACTCCTCCTCCTCACGCTCCTCCTGGGCGGCTGTGTCCTCCTTTACCTCCTCAACCTCACTGCTCCTAGGAGACCGAGATCTCTCCCTTGCACGCTCGTAGCCCGGGCCACCCTCGGCCCACCACCGCTCCTGACGACTGCGGTGCTTAACTCCTTTGCTCCTCTTGGGCCAAGCTCCTTCTCCTTTGCCCTTTGGGCTCTTGCCCTTAACCTTGCCTTTGCCCTTGCCCTTTTCCTTTCCACCCTCCCACCTCGGAGGGGGATAGGCGGGCTCCACAGGCCTCCTCTTCGCCTCGGCTGGGGCCAGGACCAGACGCTCAGCCTCTGGTCTTTCGGCACTCCTGTCCTCCCTTCTAGGAGGAACAGGTGGCGGCACACAACACTGGAGCTGGAGCTGCTCTTTGGGGTTGCAGTAGAGAGGATCTCTCTCTGCACCCGGGCCTCGTCTCTCTCTCTAAGAGACGGCCGCCACTCACTGCGGGTCGGCCTGATGACCTCCCTTCGAGGAGATCCTTCCCGAACCTCCCTACGAGGAGATCGGCTAGGCTCCCGTCGGCTGCTGGCTCCCTTCTGCTCAAGGAGCACCAGCACCTGGCTTTGAGCGCCCTGGAGAATCTCCAAAAGGGCACTCAAATCAGATGGCGCCGACAGCCGGGGGTCGAGGCAGAGACTCCTCAATGCCCCGAGCCCCCGGCAGACCCCGCAGTGCCTGGAAGCTCCCTGCGAGGAGACCCTCCACTGGTCGCAGCCCCGGCAAGCAATGCCGGGGCTGCAACTCCTGATCATCAGGTAGGAGGATTTCCCTCCTACCACAATCCTACTTCTGCCTAAGACGGAAGCACTACGAGCAAAAGGGAGGAGCGGCGCGGCGGATTCCTAAACTTCGAACCGTATGTCAAGGGGGGCGTTCCCTCCAAAAGTGATGAATCCCCACTAAAAGCGGACACCCCCCTATTCATCAACCAGGGGTTCTACTTAGATCCAGGGTTCACCTTAATACAAAAAATAAAACCCTCAGATCGACCCGTTGGATGGTCCCGCCTCTGCTTCCTGAGCCTCCGCTGTGGCCACCTCCTGCGTCAGCAGCTCGCACTCCGCTTGCAGCGACCCCAGCTCCGCCTCCCGAATTCCGAGCGGCTTCCGCGGACGGCAACGGCCTTGGACCGAATGGGGAACCTACCCAACAGGAATTGGGCGTGCATTTCACTTGAAGGGACCCAGTGGACATCATTTACATGGCGATTTACGTCCAACAACTAGCTTTGAGGGGTTCCAACTCTTGAAATTCATGGCCAACCTGCTTGATTCTGAGCAGAATGAGATCTTAAAGTTAGCTCATGGAGGGATCGGGCATTCCATTTGTGAGAAGGCGAGTTGGAACGCCAAGGTCTCAGTGCCCAAAAGCGGCTTTCTTGGCCTCACAAAAGATGCCCAAAGCCGCACCTTCCAAAGATTCTCGTTGCTTACCCTAAGGGTCCGCTTTCTACGATTTTTGGGCCTTCAAAACTAATCCCGGCGTCCGGTCCGAGTTCTCCATAGGGCCCGGGGGTCATGGCCCTCGGCGTAGATCGTGTATCACCAAAAGAAAACAAATGGCCCTGACTATGAGGGGCTGCCTTTCGAAGGCACCTATGCTGAAGTTCAGGTGATGCGAGTCTCCAATTCCATCCCTTCGACCCTTTGTCTAGTACTGTCCAAGCCTCGAGCTTGTTGGTCAGATTTCGAGGGGACACCCCCTCTGAAAACGAGAAAAAGGAGGCGCCGGGATCTCCCCCTACGAGTCCGATGAACCGGTCCCCGCCTCCAGTTTCTCCGCCTCTTGCTCGGCAGCCCGCACCTCTTGCCAGGCATCCCGACCTCAGCCGCACGCTTCGAACGGGTGAAACCAAGCGGTTTCTATGGGCCAATGGGCGGAGCTATAGCGGGTCGCCCGAAAAATTGTGGGATTTTTCTACATCAGGTTCAACACCCAAAGGTCCAAGGATTGGCTTCTCGGTTTTCCTTTCGGCATCAGAAAATCCAGCACTCTTCCCGCAAAACTCGGGCAACAAGAAGCCAAAAGCCAGACGCGAAAACAAGCCCAGTGACCCTGGCCGAAAACGGGAACTCTTTGTTGGGTTTGACCATAGGGGAGCCCACGCCAGGGTGCAAGGGTGTGCCAAAGTTTCTGGCCTGAGGTGTCAATGAGGTATGTTAAGTTAGTGGAAGATACTAACCAAAACAAAGCACTTGGCCAAATCCAGACCCCGTGCAAAAGTGCAAAGACAAAAAGCAAGTTGCTGCTTCAAAGTTTGAAGATCCGGCAAGTTGGTGAGTCTGGCAAGGGGCAAGCCATCTCCAGTTGGACCCCCCTCACCTCTGCATTGCGGATGCAACCGACCTCTTGATCTCCGTGCCATTTCGGAAAGCAACGTGCGAGGACAAATCACCGCAGATTAAACGAACTTCTTGTGCAACAAGAAACCGAACAGTTCGGCTATATTCTGGCTATTTTTGGCAATATGGTGACTATATTTTGCGATATCTCGACTATGTTGTGGGAAGATTGGAGTACACCTGTAGGGGTCCCCACGTTGTCTCATGCGAACTTCTGTGCCAATGCTCCAATGAGGTCCTCAGCCCAAGGCCTCGCCCAGATCGCGGGGTGGTCGTGCCGGCGCCTTGAGATGCGGGGGGTCCGGTGACGAAATGGAAGATGTGGCTCTAAAAGTATGCCATCCACAAACTGAGCCTCAAAAGATTCACCGGGTTTGTCCGAAACCACCCCAACAGCAACTTTGAGAACTTCTCAAAATCTTCCCAAAGAGATATGTGCCACAGCTTCATTCAAGCCCTTCCCACCCTTCATGCCTCCCCTGAACTAATTCCCTTTCTCCTGAAGAGGTTGGCCTCATGGTCTGGCGACTGCAGTCAGTCCAGTTGCCAAAGGCAAGCTCACAGAGGGCCAGCCCTGCAATCATTGAACTCCCCGGCACACAGACAGAGACACACCGCACAACCTGGAGCAAAACAACACAGGCAGATCACTGAAACCCAATGGACTCCTGCTGATACAACGCCCAGCTATCGAGAGACCCTTTTAGCCTTTTAGTGTTTGTGTTTTCCTTCCATCTGAATCGCATGCCCCAAAACGTCAGCGAACCAAAAGAGAGACACAGTAGCCCGCTGTTTTGCACTCTCTGGCAAAGGGGACATCTAGTTGCAAAGGGCTACCCCTGCAAACACCAGCAAAGCCCGAATTACATCAAGGGCAACACATAAAGGGCACATGACTCACACAAAGTCAGAGGTGACCTTTTGGAAACATAGATGGTTTTCCCTGCTGGCAAACGGATTATAAGACCAATAACCCATGAAATGTCTAACCAAACCCAAAAAGGACAGCTATACGTACATAGCCCTTGCTTGCACCCAAGCCGACGTCCGAAACGCGCCACGCGCCTGTGGCAGCAACGCGGCTTTGAGGGGTCCTATCCAAAGAGATTTAAGCACGAGCGCAAAGACCTCACAGGAATCAGATCCAAAACTAAAGATCATGGTTAAGTGGACCTGTTGAACAAACACTTGATATTCCAATGGGCATCTCAACATAGAATCAAACAACGCGATGAAGCTTTCAAACATATCATTTGGCTGATACACAATTGTGCCGTTGATGCCGTTGTGCACAAAAGAAACCATGAATCCACACAAGTTGATTAGGTCACTGGGCTTTTGCCGAAGACAACGGAACTTGGGTTCAATACCAAAACTCCCCAGCGCTAATCCAGGGCGAACCCAGGCCCTTTTTGCCCCGTCCAGTGTTCACCCCGTCTTCAGAGTTTTGCAGATATCACGGAATCATATAGCTGTTGATTTCTGTACTGGCAAGCTCAAATGACAGCTTCGTCACAAGGCATCTCAATTACAACGCGAGGTAGCGACGAGCTCCGAAAGTTGGACGCCAAGTCCCAGCCCCCACACGTCCTCACGCGTGGGGACTTGGCTTCCGGCTTCTCTGTGGCCGGGCCTCGAGGAAAACAACACGACAACTCTTTTGCATGGCCAACAGAGCATGGCAACAGAGGTGTGCGTTTGGCTGTTGCTAGGCATTGGAGAAAGTTTTCTCCGCATCTCTCGAATAGTACCTGCAGTATTACCTATAAGCTTTCGGGACCGTGCTCCAGACTCGAATGACCGGACAGCACCGTGTGATTGAAATGCCTAGATTTCATGTTTGTTCAATTGGTGCCCTGTGAACATGGGCACAACGTGGCCCACATTTCTTGGTATTGACACATCCCCAAACGTCCTCCGTAACTCTTTTGTTGGTCTTATAGGGAACCAAACAAAGATTTTGTGTATTTATTTATTTTAGAAAAAAAAGCAAGCACAGGGAAGCTGGGAAAGGCACGTCCTAGCTTATGGCAATGGGAAAGCCAACTCAACGAGCAAAGGACGTTCCATCTCGCCCCCGGGGCTTGCCTGACAGATATATCACCGATGTCCTTCGAGCAGGCCGTTGGACACGTTGAACCGCTTGGTTGAGGAAACTTCCTCATTCTTCCAGGGTCGTTCTTTTCACAAGAACGGAGCGAACAATGATTCAAGAGAATGGAATGACTTGCCAGATACAAGGTTCATCTCTTGGAACCTTGAGTAAACATGGGAAAAGGGGGAAACCCAAAAGGTCGGATCCAGTGGCTTTGGACAGGGTGGAGCAGGAGTCAGCCCGACTTCCCAACCCCGGGCCTCGGTTGCGCTCGGTGAGCGCTCCGCGCCGCTCGGTGAGACCCTCGCGTCGGACCTCCTGCCGGCTGGATCCCGCCATGGTATCCCATGAATCAGCCAGGTGGAGTAGAGTCTTCCCCCCGGAACAGTGATCCAAATTTTCTGCAGAATTGGATTTTTATCCAACCAACAGGTGGAAGCTATGGATTCGGTCTCTGCCCAGAGAGGCGCTGGGGTTGAGCAGCTGTGAGGAGGGTTCCGGAGAACAAACCCCCAGTGAATTTCCACGGGAAAAAAGGCCTTGGGCCCATCCAAAGGAAAGCCCCAACAGAAAGGGAGATCCCTTCCATTTGGCGGGGATTCTTGACGCACCCCCTTCCTTTTAAAGAACAGAAACGAACAAAGGGCTCCCACCCAAAGCTCACCTTGCAATCGTGGAATGACAAAAGCCCAGTGACTCTCGGTACGACGGACATTCAGATTTAAATTGCCATAAAATGACCCGGGTGGTTGCGTCCGCCTTCTGGAGAAACGAGCTTCCGTGGGAGCAGCTGAGTAGGTTTCTTCCGCTTGCGAATGCAATTTCCACCCCCCCTCGCAGGTACAGCTGGAATAGGCCAACACACTGCCGGGCGAGAATGCTCTGCAAATTCACGTGGGTGTCTCCTAAAATAGGGACCCTGGCCCCCCAAAAGGCTGAATATCCTTTTGGTGTCCTCCTCGACCAACCAGAAAGGCGGCTACCACATCGACGTTAAAGAAACAACCAATTGTGGAACATCTCCCAAACTCATTTCCCTACAACTTGTCATAGACTATGAGCCCCTTTTCAATGTAGTTGGGGGGAGCCTCTCATGTAATTGTCCCGGGGACTGTAGCATTCATAAGCGCGTTGGTCCATTGGAACCGCCAGGAACAAATTTATTGGCGCTCCATTCCCAAAGCAGGGGCCGCCGAAACTGCATCCTTTTGGTGGCCCTTTAAACACCCGTCCTTAGGACGGGGAAAAAAACAACCACCTGGATTCATAGGTGCCGCCTTCACCGCCGTGACCTTTGCCCTGGGCTCCACTCGATTCTCCTAAGGGCAAGGACTCGCGCGAGGAAAGTCACTTGAAGGTATCTTTCTTGAGGGTACTTGTTTTTGTAGGTTTAATGGACAACCAAACACAAACAAAAACAAACACACCAATTTGGGTGATCCCCCAAAAATCGACACACCCTGGTGCCAGAAGGATGATGTTTGAACCAGCCAGGGGAATACTACATCCCCTGGACGAATGTCAGTGAAGTAACAACAAACACCAAGTAAGATTATGCAACATTCAGGGCCCACTAAAAGAAGCTTCATGGGTGAGACCAGAAGCCCCCAACTGGTTGCCTTGGTGGTGTTTTAGAGTGATTTTTTGGGGCTCGGGGCTGCTCCAACCCAAACTAATAAGATCTGCTTCTGTCATGGCTAGAGCACAAAGGGGCAAGGAACGAAGCTAGAGGTCCCGCAACGCAGGACAGTTTGATAATGAACGCCGCCTCAGTTTGGCCAACGGGGTTTTCAAACCTCACCTCCACTATAGTCCCTACAATTCACCAGCTGAGAGTGAGGATGACAGTGAAACACTCAGCAACAAGCCGCCGCTTCCAAATGAAGGCTCTGCGCAACAGAAAAACTCGCCGCAGCGTGCTCAAGAATGCTTGTGAACTCGAGCAAACTTGAGCAGCGAACTTGAGACTGCGCACGTGACGGATGTTTCTTTGAGAATGCTCCGGGTTCGGTGAGGACTTCGCTAGCATTGCATCCGCATCCAAGCAACCCCTCCCGATTGAGCAGTGTAAGCCTCACCCCCGGTTTGGAGGTAATCCTTTACGTAAAATGGGGGGTTGCTAAAACGGAGGGTTGCCGAGAAGGGGACTTGTAGTCATCAATGGGTTGCTTTGGCGTTGGCTTGTGTGGCCTTGAGCAATGGCCAAAAAAATGACTCGTCCACCAGTTGCGTTTACATAACCATGACCATTGCTGTTCTATTGAAATGAGTTCCGCTCGAAATGAGGGGGGTGCGTCCTGCACATGTCACAGAACGCAGGCAAACCCCTACCTAAAATATCACACCCGCAAGGAGATGTCACTGGGACATGGAGTCATCTACCAAGGTAACTATCTGATGTGGCGAATGTGTGCTTCCATGACTAAAGGCAGGCCACAGAGGCAACTATCTGCTACGTACTGGGTGAGTTTTTGTTTTGTTTAAAGAACTATGCCCTTTTCCATCTTTTGTGAGTAACACTGATTCACCAAGCTGAAATGAGTTAGATGAATCTTCACCTATGGGGCCAAAGGTCGCACACAAAACACGGCGACAGTTGGCTTGTGGCAACAAAAGCCGCACTCGCATTTTGGCAAGGAAGCATGTGAAAGAGGGACCCTTGTCTAGGTGCTCCCGTAGAGAGGTTAGAATAAGTAAGGGTACCCTTTTTTTCTGTAGTCTACTTTAGTAGGGGAACCCTCCCCCAAACAAGGGTAAAAGGGTACTACTGGGGGACCTAGTTGTGGGATTCCAAACAGAAACCCGATGCTTCGATTTTGGAATGGTTCCAAGCCACAAGCCACGCGGTGGACCTTCCTTGCCACTTGGAGCTCGTATCACCGGGGCCATCTCGATCTCGCCTCAAAACTGGCTGTCTGAGCTTACCATGGTGAAAGTCACTGGGTCAAAGGGAAACAACCCCCAGAAACAGTCAACACAATGCCCCCGCAAAAACGGCAGCAACCTGAGCTGAGGGTAGATATGGTAGATCAAGGGACTGGGCTCTTGACCACCGGCTCCCCCGGAAGTCACCAGAGTCACCTTATTGGTATAGGCTAAAGCGGTACCCCGGTTTCTGACTTCGATAACCTCCAGAAACAGTCAACATGTGTCAAAACAAAGGCGCCAGGCGCTAAGAAACCGCCAGGGATCAATCCCCCCATCTGCCTGAGCCCTTCCGCCAGGTTTCATGTTGCAAGGTGGGAGAGCGCACCAGTCAGGTAAAGTCAAACCCTGGAAAAATCGCGCTAACTCTAAACTCGAATACTGGAACCAGAATGCGCATGCTGCTCGCTCGCTCTCTGTCTACAGCGCCAACCACCCACCTCAATAAATATTCAGCCACCCGAGCAGCCCCCAAAACCAGCAGCCCACCCGAGCAGCCACCACGTGCACTCTCTCAGCACTGCAAGCACACCTGCCTCATGTTAGGGGAACCGCTTGCCTGCGTCCACGCTGCACTGCACGCTTGCTCAACTGTGTCCGCGCAGCACTGTGCACCCGCCTGCCAAATGTTCAAGCACTGCACAAACACCTGCCGCATCATAAGAACTCCACACCGGCCAAATGACCTGCTCAAGTGCGCCCATCTTCCACTGCGTACACGCCTGCCAAATGATAAGCGCACTTGCTCAAGTCCGTCCGTGCAGCACCGCCCAAATGCACGCAACATATTTCACCTCCTCCAACTGTGGTTCAAACATCCCATGTCGTATCTGGACCCGTTGCCGGACGTCAGTTTCCTGAGGAGTTTTGTCCATTCACCAAGTGCGGCTGCATACTCTACTTCACTAATTAACGTGCTTGAACGCCTTTGCTCAAACCGCCTCTCTTTGGTTTCCCTTGAAAGGGGTCAAGGCCTGCTCGTTTCAACAACAATAGACGGCCAATATTTATTGGATATTCATGTCGATTTGGAGCTGGGCTTGCACTCGTTTTGTGGTTGGCTTCAAGGGAAGCCACAGGGAAAACCCCCGTTGCAATCCTCGGTTGCTTTCTGCTCGCATGCTAACAGTTTAGCTTTTGGTGGTTTAATGCGCAAAACCCATGAGTTGGCAAAAAGTCAAAGTCCTAACATCCAAGCAAGATACCAACATAAGATTGCAAAGCAGTATGTCCTCTTACTTAAGTACATGACCTCTATGCCACTCCGAAAACCTTATTGAATCTAATCAGTTGGTGACTCACTTAGTTCCCCGTCCGTGCACCAAAGAATTGGTGGCCGACTTCGCCGCTTCGATCTCCCGAGCGCTCTGAGCCCCCCGACTTGGCTCAGCTAGACCCCGAGACGCGCGCTCGAGCCGAGCACGTGAGGGCTCCATGAAAATTTACCCGTCGCCCTACGAAAAGGAAACCTGCTGTTTGCCCAAAAGGTCATGTTTAAAGCCAAGACGGGGAATTTATAGGGACGGGCAAAGTTCTATTGCTCTCAATAACTTGATCCCTATGAGCATCTGACATGACCTGCGACCTGAAAGTCAAAGGCGTTCAACTTTTGGGACCTGGCTACGTGTCTGTGTGTGGGTCTGTTTGGGTGGTCAAAATGTTTGCGGCTTTAAAGGAGCACCAAAAGGACAGCCATCATTTTGGGAAGTCTCCGAACAAGGGCATATCCATCTGAACTACGGACCACTGGAAACGCAAAAGGCCAATTCGTGACTGAGCGCCTGTAAGAACCCCTACTCCGAACTCCCTTGGTTTGACGACCGCCGTGGTCTGTTCCCGTTGCCACAAACCATGGCCTACCTCAAATTGCGACTTGGAATTGGCCATTCGAATTGAAAGCCACAGCCTGAGGACAAAGAGCCTTATTTGGTCACTTCTGTGGCACGCGTGCCACGGAAGGGATTCAATGTCAACCCAAGGGAAACTCAGCTTAAATTGGCCAAACAGGTGATACTGTGGATGGACGAAATCCTGCACCACCTAACAAACCCTGGAATGATTCGATTCCCCTGTAAATACCAACAAACGCCATGGTTTCAACCATGGTTCATCTCGTGGTGCAAACCGACTTCTCATCCATCCAAAGCATTTAAATCGCACGAACCACAGGCTGGGGTAAGGGCCAGCCTACGGCGGCATCCACCCAGGAAGCCAACTCGTCCACATTGCCGGTGTCACCGGAGAAGAGCTTGAACCTTTCCGAGGCGAACCTTTCCGAGGCAAAGTTAACCGGGACCCAGAGTCAGCATCGGTTTTCCTCTTGGCTTCCCTTTGAAGCAACCCCCAAAACAAGTAGCAACTCAAACAAAGCAAACTCCATGTGGAACATGACCCCCTGGCAGGTACAGAGAAGGGGGGTGCTTCCCCTGTAAGGTCATGCCAACCACTTTTCTGTGGGTCCTCTGACTAGTGTCTCTCATGAACATCACTTCCGAGGTTCCCTTACTACCGACAATGACCCCAACAAGCAAATGTCCACCAAGCTTCGTTGCTCTGGATCATATTTCTAGCTGGACTTCATGGGGCCCAAAACCCAAAACCTCGTCTTGAACATCTGCCCAGCTCGGTGTTCTTGAACACCTCTCAGGGTCCGGCCAGCAACTCCACCGCCCAAAAGGCGGGAACAAAAACCAACAACAAGAGTTCAGCCCTGTTTTGCGTGATTTGGCCCGTCTACCCCAGTATTCAGCATGTGTCACCCATTGGCACAAAGATTCTGGCGTCTAAACCCCATGTGTTGAAGGCAGTTTGGCTTTGGATCGATTGATCTTTGCATGTCATCTCCTCTACTCAGCTGCCTCTGATGATTCTCGACCAATCATACATGACATCATCTCCAAACACATATTCCAAAGGCTTCACGCTGATAACATTTGCTTGCCTATCACTAAAACTCAAAAATGTGGATATCACCTACACAGGTATTGATTGATCCTTAGGATATGATGGAGACATATGGGCAGGGCATTTATGCCAACCATCACACATGAGTGTTCCAGCACTGGCTCAAATGCCAGGGCGCTTAAAGCTGAAGCACTTTTGGTTGGACCAAGTCGCCGCCCAAGACGAAGCTTAAGTAATATCCCGAGCGGCGGCTCCCCAAGGCTCCAAACCCTGGGTTCACGGCTGAAAGGGTCCAAGTAGGTACGGCGGATGGCCTAAATATTGCTCACGCAAATCAACCAGAAACCACGAGCTTCGTGGGGGACTTGGCGGAGGTCGCTCTCGGGCGGCTCGGCCTCTTGCGCTTTGGCCGGTAGAGCACCACAGAGTCCGGGGAGGCCTCGGAACGAGACTTGAGGTTGCCCGAAAAAAAGGTAGCGATAGGTAACATGCCACTTGGACAAAGTGTGCCCAAACTTGTTTGCCACTTAAATCATCTTAAGAACAACAAATGTGTAAGGGTACATGCGTGTCGGTACAGGGAGGAACCCCCACGCGAACGGTCGTGGGAGGGTTCGCCAAATGACTAGATTCCCACCAGTCAACCCAGTCAAGCCCTTGCAAATTTAACCACAAAACAGGACTGTTCCCAAACCGCCATCAGAGTGCTTCTCCTGCGCATGGCTTGCGGGGATCAAATGACCCGTAGGCTTGAGGGCCCAAACGAAGAAAGCGGAATCGAAGGTTCTTGGACAGGACCCAATCAAAACTGAAGAAGAACACATGGGCGTCTCTCGTTTTTAGTGGGACCCACAAAATGGCTGGTTTTCTTTTTGGTTTCCTGTTTAACCACAAATAAAAGGTTACCCTCAAAAAAAGACACACCCACATCAAACGCCTTGGGGCTCCCGCGTCGAAGGCGGTCGCAAAGTCCGCGTCCTTCACGTAGAAGACCTGGCCAGAATGGCCGTGAGCCATGGTCAAAACTCCCTCCAGGTCTGAATGTTATTTCGCGCCTCGTTTGAGGCGGCTCACCTTTGGGGAAAACGCGATGTTGAAAGCCACCACCTCCATGGGTATTTGTGTCCAGCATGTCCCCCAAATGGTGCAACCTGAAAGGGTTGCCTCAAGAAACGCAGACACTCCTTTTTGAGCCATCTTCAAAGCATGTTTATATGGCCTATTGTCATGGTTCCCTTAACAGGAATCATCATGGTTATTAAGGCTCCGTCCCGTACCAGGTTGCTGACCATCCCAACGTGAACCCCTAGTAAAGGAAGCGGTCTGTTGAAACGGACAGGCACGGTGACTCATAGCCCCAAGGCGGGTGCTGTTGGCCTCACCGATGGACTGACCTCAAAGCCGATACCATCCGATACCTATCTACCCAAAGTGAAGATATCCCATGAGAAGCGGATGGGGGACTACCAAACGGCAAGATTGACGGTTGATATGCCCCGAGACTTGTGCAGGGGCAAAGCCGGGTTTTGTCGAAAACATTGCGCAACCCATACTGTGGGTGGACGAGATCCTGCACCACCTAAGAAGCCCTAAAAACATGATTCCCCTGTAAATACCAACCAAACTGATTTCCCCTGGTTTCAAAGTGGTGCGAAATGGATTTTGTCCACCCACAGTATTACCTACTTAGTCCTGATTCTCGCCTTCACTTTGTCCTTCCACAGCTTCGGCGCTAAGGACCTGCGACAAGGGTCCATTTTTGACCGGGGACTTCGTGTCATGGGAATCGGTCCCCCCCCAAAAAATGGTGGGTAGCAGCTACTGGGTCCATTTTGAGAGAAACCGTGATATTTGTGTATCTTCCTATTTGAGAAACAGTCTTTTGTGTCTTCCCATGTCAATCAATGGGCAGGCCACCGACTAAACAAAAACATTCATAGCCACTGTCAAGATTCACAGTGTCCCCAACGGGTATGGGCGAGAAAACCTCAGAGGGCGACTTGTGCGGCAGAAAAAAACAAAACAACAAGTGATCACCTTTTGAAACTTGACTACAAATTCACCACATCAGGAAAACCAACACGTCAAAAGGTGGATTCGCTTTCGCCAAGTGAGAGTAGTATTGGCCGCAGCTTCCCCCCAAAAAAACTCGGCTCCAAAAGCTCTAGGGAAGACGTCGCGTGTTACATGCAGTGGCATCCAGTCGCTTTGGGTGTCCTAAATCGGAAAAGCCCACCATGGGTGGTTGTTACCCTCAAAAGGAGCACCCTCAAAAAACACAGGCCCAATGGCTTGAGTTTACCTTTGGCCTTCTTTGGCCGGTGGGTTCAAGCTCTCTTCGAAAGGGGTGTTTCTCAAAATGGTGGACCCACTTTGGGCTGGAGGGGCCCAAAGCATACAACCCGTAGGTGAATCGACCCTGTGCTTCCGGCTCGCAACACCGGGTAAAATGTCAGAGAGATAGATGTGCCATGATCATTTTCCCCAAACGAACCCCGTAGCTTCCTCGACCACGCATAGCATCCTGGCTTCCAGTTGCTGATACTCCGCGCTGTTTCTGCGCATGTTGCCTGGACGAGTTTCCCTAGCCAATATTAGGGAGCTTCTCAAAATGGCGATCCCCTTTTGGTTGGTATTCGAAACAAAAGCAACTGGACCGTTTTCGGGGACCGATTCCGATTTGAGAAACTCCGTATTTTCCCCGGCTGTACAACACATGGAGTCACAATTTGTAGCCAGATGAACGCATCTTCGAAGCTTCGGCCACCTCCGGCCTTTATCCTTCTCAGGTTCCCCTTTGGATTGGTGGTTTGGCCCTGTGGTTTGGTTAGTTGGCCTTTTGCACAAACCCATGTTAGTTGGTGGGAGGGTAACTGGAAACTCCCCTAAAAACCCACCAAACCAGGCCCCATCCCAATTGAACAGCCGAAAGCCTTCGAGGCCTTCGAGGCTCGCCTGGAAAATCAGACCTCGCGGATTGTGCCTGTGAACGGCCCGATGATCAACCCACCAAAAACCGGGAAGGGATGTCAATGATATTGTGGTGCAGGCTTTTGTCCATCCACGGTATCAGCCAAGTATTTTAGGGGACCAATCAGTTTAGACCCCTTTGAGCAACCTCCATCTCCCGAACCCCACCTCAAAGCCGCCGTGGCTGCCTCTGCAGCTCCCAGCAGCAGCAGGCAGAACTCGGAACATCTCATGTTCAAAACTCATATGGCCGATTGGGCCATTTGGGGCATACCCCCCTAGAAAACAAAGTGAACCCCGGTGTGGGGATTTCTGAGTGAGTCCTCTTGGTTACCAACAACTTGCTAACTTGGCGAATCTATTGCGCTTAAAGATTCTACCAGGTGGACCATTCCTGTCCCTAAGTACATTACCGGTCTTTTAATGGCGCATGGTGCGTGCACCCGTGACGCGAGCAAACAGCACGAGCACGGTCCAATTTGGATCTACCTGGACCCTGAAACTCACCTAAAAAATGGACTGCCCCAAGTTATGGGACTGAAATCCAGGTCGGTGAGTCGTGATCTACCCATACGGATCCTAAAGAAAATGGGCCCCTCGGCCGGCCACAAGCTCCCTTCGTGTCGCTGCAAGCATCCCGTTTCCCGGAAAAGGAAAGCTGGTTCAAATTGTCCAGCCAGGCCGACCGAATGAAACTGACTCTCAAGATATTGACCCAAGGCCGGGCCCCTTAGTACTGGTTTGCTGCCAAGATGCCACGGAGCTTGAGCATGTCTTTAGTTGCTGTTGTGCAGTCTCTTGAGTCGGAGAATAAGTCGCTTAGCGTTTCAAGCAGGGGAAGCCAGGAAAGGTGGTGGTTTCTAGTCACATCAGCTCCAAACTGCCCTCAAACTGGAAGCAAGCGCCCACATCACAATTGTGGGACCTCTCTATCATAATGTCGACCCTAGATCAATGAAGCTGGTGGACTAATGTGTAGGGGTGGTTTCATGCAAAGTGATCCGCACTCCCTCTATGGGACACCCCCCCCCATAGATCAACCCATCCTGGGATCTCATAGTGAGAGAATCGCTGGTCTTCCAGTCGCACTTCTTGCCTTGAACAATACCATCTATATTATTATTCATGACCATCGCCCTTTTGAAACCAGGTCAAGCAAACAAACACCATCTTCATCCAATGCATGAGATGCACATCTCAAGTTGACCTTTCTGTGCGAGATCTTCAGTCTACCTGGACCCTCAAGCTATCCTTTAAAAAAGGGATGTCACCCCAGGATTTGGATGCAAAAACCAATCGTTGAGGGTTTTTTGAGGGCACAGGCAGAATTCTGAAGCAGGTGTTTCAAGAGCTCGGCTCTTGCGTCGTGGTACTTGCCCCATCTTGCCCCCCTGAGCCACACAAACTAGGATCGCCAAGTCGCATGGCCATCGCTCGGCCCGCAGTCCCCAGCCGCCGACCGTGCGGACGTTAGCCTTGCGGCAGGTTTGGAGTTTGGATTGCACGGTCCCGGGGCATCACAATTTTCAACACAGGTGTCCGTTTGGGAAAGAGATGAGTTGCCCTGGTTGATGAAACCAAGTCAATCCATCGATCGCCATCGATTTTCACCAAAACAACCAAGAGGACACCTCTGGCTTATGGTACTGAAGTAAGCAGGACTACACCTCGAAATAACAACAGAACCTGTCCCCGCAAAAATAACATGATCGAACCAGGATTGCACCCTTTAAACATTCAACAAAAATAAGACCCACATAAGGCCTGCTCCGGAAACAACTGCAAACTAAGTTCATGTCCATTGAAGCCCGGACATAGTGGATACTTGATCTCGTGCCAACAGCTAAGCTAAAATTCCCCTGTAAAAGTCTTGCCAAGCAAATACAGGGGTCTGCTAGCTCGGCAAACAAGACCTGCTTCTTCCAAACTCAACTCCCAGGGTGTTGAAAGTTGGATTCTATTTCGAGCAACCGGCCACCACACAAAGACGACCTATAAAACAGAGTTGTCCTTGTGGAGAAAGAGCCGCCCTCCACCTCAAAACACATACCCAGAAGACATACAAGCGTTGGGCGCTACGGAGCTCGACACATGCGAAACGCATCCAGCCCAGTGCAAAAGGCACTGGGGCGCACTCTCAATTTCTTGATAGTCTCCTGAGTCATCCGTCTCGATGTCGAGGTTCGAGAATCCAAACAAAAACAAGCTGTAGTCGCCAAGAGCATTCAAGTCTTCGTCGCACTCCGCCTTGTAACTTGGAGGGGCTGCCCCCCGCGTTCGCGAGCGTCAAGGGGACAGCCAGGGCCTACGCATCAACGGATTGTCAACCAAACTGTTGGACTCTTCGAGGGTCCTTTGAGTTTGGCTGTGCCTGTTTGGAGGGTGGATTGGGAACTCCTGGATCCAACAACTTGGTTTGTGTCAAAACAGCGCTTTGGAGCCCCTATGTTGCTGGCAGTCAATCTGGTTAACAACACACTCCCACTAAAATGACACCTCTTGCAAGTGTTCCGTTCCTGTTAAGTTGACTTCAAACCCACAACATGTCGGATTTCCTTTGATATCCCGCTAAACCAACCCATCAAAGTGGCTCAAACAATACACTCCCAACTGGACACCGGCAACAACACACACACACACCCACACACACACACACACACACACACACACACACACGCGGATGTCCCTTTTGGGTTTCCCTTTAAACAAGCTTACCTCCCACATAGAAGCAGAGGGTTTCCTGGACCATGTTCCTTTCAGAGGACCCGTTCAGGTTCCTTCCGCTGAGGCTACTTCTGCCCGACTCCCTAACCCTGGGCTTGGGCTCCGGGCTCCTTGAGCGAGGCCTGCGCCTCGCTGCGGTGTCGCCCCACGCAGCGCGACAAGAATCGGCTCAGCGGCTCCTCGCGAGTGGGATGCGGATTGCCCCTGCCATGCCCCACGGAAACCAACCAGAACCAGAAAAACATTTGCAAATGGAAGTAAACCAAACTAACTCCACCAAAAAATCATGCTGCAAGCTGCCACAAAACAAAAAAGAAGAGAGCGTTTGCCAGTTTCTTCACTTGCAACGTCCCGCACATCCACCGCACATGGTGGGGGGAGGAAGGGAGGGAATTTAGGACCCGGAACCTATGAGGGGGTCCTTTTTGGGAGTTGATTTGCAGGACCGCAAGGGAAACAGGCCATATGAGTAGTCGGGGGCCTTGCCCCGCAAATAAATTGCTTCATACATACCCCCCACCCTACATTTTTTTTCATCTTCCATCTTCTACCCTTATTTGTTTTCATCATTTTTCTACATTCCTTTCTGTCCATCTCATCCGTTTTGTTATCATCATTTTTCCAAAATTTTCGCCATCCTTTTCTCCTTCCTCCTCGCCTCATTCATTTCACCAACTACCCTCCAAAATGTCATTTCCTCAATCTCCTCGCCTCATCCATTTCAAAAAAATAAATTTTGCAAAATATATTGCAAAAAATATTTGTCATCAAAAAAAAATTCGAACTGTCTAAAAACGATTTGTCCATTTCCCGGACAAAAAATAGAACAGCAACAACATCACTCCCTCCTTCGTTTCATCACTTTCATCATATATTTTTTTGGGCTTGCGTGGCCCGCCTTGTAGGATTTTATCTTCAATATATAAAACGCTATACTTACATTATAATTATAACATATAAGGGTATAAATGTTATTATTATAGTATGATTAATAATTATGGGTTACATTTATAGTCAGGAAAAATGTCTTCAAATATGTAATCTACATATTTATCAATATCGCCAATGTCTATATATTTGATATTGTCTTTTCCTATTATTGAATAAATATATTCCCAGAAAAACAAATTAACTAGTAGCCATACTTGATATTTAGTGTTGTAGTAAGACCATACATGATATTTAGTTATTCTAAATTCATTCAAGACCTCGTTTATTTTATCTTTACTTAATAAATGCCAATCAATCGCATCAAACATGCCTCGAAATTTTTTAACAAATGCTTTATATGGTTTAATTGCGCTTGTCCCTCCAAACCTTTTAATCAAATCTTTATTATTGAAGAACTCATCAATTTCTTTTTCAAATGACTTTCTTGCAATTGTATGGTAAAAACATACAGGACATCGTTTTTGATATCTCATAAAGAATGTCAATTGTAATTGAAACTTTGTATATCCCTTATCCTTATGTTCTTCAACAAAAAACTTTTCAAGGTCTCTTGTTATACAGCATTGATTACAATATACATCATATTCACTTATTTTATTACATAGATTGGCGGGTAATAACTTATACAATGTTATATTAACATCATTCCTTTTAGTTGTACAACATTCGCACTTTGAATAATTAAATAACATTTCCACTGTAATATATATAGTGTTTATTTCTTTAAATACTTTTTTACAAGAAATAAAATTACATATTGAAATATAATTATAACATATAATATTTTACATGTTATTATTATATTATGATTATAATTTAAGTTCAGGATAATAATTTAATTGATATGTTCTTACCTCTTTCATACATCATTTTAAAAATAATATTAATATCTCTCACTGTATTTTTAACATTAAATTTTTCACTTTCAATATATGATTTTATGACTTTTTTTACATCAACGCCGGGTTTACTATAATAAATCAACATCCATAATATGTCATTAATCATTTCACACTTTTTCTTACTGATTTTAAGAAACTGTTTAACATAATCGTAAGGTGGTCTTTCATACACAGTTAAAAATATCAATATTTCATCTTCAACATTTCTTTCATCTATATTTTTAAACGCCAAACAATTTTCTATTATATTTTGATATCGTCTCCATCTTCTACAAGTTCTACATATATTTTCTTCGTCCAAAGAATAATCAATAATATTATTAACTATTCCATTAGGTAAATTCAATTTATATAATTCCATATTTTCCTTTTTGAAGTGGCAACAGTCGTAGCATTTCTTATTGATATAATTATTGATTTCGGTTTCCACCATTGCTATTATAATATATATAGTGTTTATTTATTTAAATATTTTTTTACAAGAAATAAAATTAAATATTGAAATATAATTATAACATATAATATTTTACATGTTATTATTATAGTATGGTTATAGGTTAATTTCAGGATAATAATTTAATTTGATATGTTCATATTTGGTAAAATTATGTTCATGAATGTATTTTAGTATGTCATTAAATTCTTTCAGTTTACTTGATGGTACAAAATGTTTTAAACGCGTAGGGTCATGTAAACGACTGTTAAATCCAGATCTGTATTTCTTAAACCTGCTTGGTGCCAAATTAAACTGTAGCTTTAATTCTTCTTCCTTTGGGAATTTATATAACTCATTAAAATAGTATACTGTAGAGACATCACTAAAATATCTATTCGCGTGGTCAATTGTCTGGTTCAAATGAATGCAGTTATCGCATTTGCATTTACGTTCTCCATATTCTTTGATTAACCTAATGGCATTGAATGGCAACTTCAAATAAAGTAATAGTGATGAATTGTAATTATGTTTGGATAGTTCGTGTTTGAGAATCTTTTCTGTTTCATTTTTGTTTAAGTCATCCAAGAATTTATTAATAATCTCTTCTTGCTCTTTCTCTGTAAATTCAACCATTTCTATTATAATATATATAGTTTTTATTTCTTTAAATACTTTTTTCCAAGAAATAAATTTATACCTTTAATAACTCATGTCTCAAAAATGCCCTGTCATAATTTTCAATATAATAATATTCCTGTCCTAACTTCTTTTCAATCTTTGCTATTTTGTATGTTTGTTTAGTCCATACTCCTACTCTCTCCTTTTCATTCGGTCTCCTTTTCCTGAATATCTTAACTTCATTTCCTACATTTAAATCTGGATAAACTCTATTTCTTTTGGCTTTCATACCTAAATTTAAACTCACTTCTAATTGATGTTTAGGCTTTCTTGCTTCTGACGGTGTTAAGCCGTGCGAAGTGTGCTTTATTCCATTGTTATAAGTTAATATAATCTCGTGTATGTAGTCTGTCCATTGAATAGCCTTTCCTTTTTTCTCATCGTTTTCAACCCTCTTATACAAGCTATCTTTAAACGTCCTTATCGCCCTCTCCGCGAATGCTGGGTGTCCTCTGGTTCTGTGCAACTCTATTTTTTCATCCTTCAAGAAATCTATAACACTTTGATTATTATAAGCTCCTTCGTCGTCAATATAAATTAGTTTGGGCTTTCCACCCATTTTTTTAATACATTCCATCAGTCCTGCTAAAATGTCCGCTGGCTGTTTTGACATAAGCGGGACAACAACCATATACTTAGAAAATATGTCAATACACATCATGCCAACTTTCATTTTTTGTTTAGGGATATCATTAATGAAAAATAAATCAATTTGAAACTCATAATATGCGTTAGGAGCTACAAATGAATTCTGTCCTCTTGGCTTGGCTTTCTGTTCTACATTCTTCCTAAAAAACTCATTGATATCATTAATAGTAATTGATTTATCTTTTTTTCTTGCTTCTTGTAAAGTGCGGTTCTTTGACCCGAAGCCTCCCTTATCATAATAAACATTTCTAATTATATCTTCTTTACTATTGCTCATTATACTAAAGAAGATATTTTAATTTTCTTCTGGTTCTTGTTCTGGTTGCTCTTGTTGTTGTAGCCATTCTTGGTGTTTCTTGGTTTTTTCATGTCGTGCTTTCTCTGTTTTTTGAACAGTTGAACCACAACCGCAGTTAAAAGGAATTTTCTCCTTCTCCCTCAATATTTCCTTGTTTCTCTCTCTGTATAATCTATTAGTTTCTCTTTTGTGTTCTTTGTGTGTGTCTCGCCATTGTTTGCCTTTATCCTTCATATGTTCTATATTGTTTTCTCTATATTCTTTTCTATACTCTTGTAAATGTTCTTTGTTATGTTCACTCCATTCTTTATAATATTCATCCAGTCGTTCTTTGTTTTTCTCTCTGTATTCCTTATGCCATTCACTCCTTGGTCGTCCTGCCACATTCGTATTTACACATTCCATGTTTTGAATATAAAACCCCTCTCGTGCTTCCAGTTCCTTTTTACTATTGCATGGATAATCCTCAATCCAATATATTTTACAATTATCAGCACCGAATTCATTGAATAGTTTGAAGCATGAGCAGTCTTTTTTCTTTCCATATTTTTGTTTGTAGTTATAACTTGCTTTGTGTCGCGCAAGTCTTCTGCTTAAACCTTCGGTAGTGCTTCCTACATAGCACATACTGAAATCAGGACTGACTATCTTATAAATTTGTCCTTTTTTATACTTATTTTCACCCATAATAACTATATTTATCTTAAGTTATCATTTCTTTAGACCAATTTATTTAGCACTACAATTGCAATATCTGCACCACGCTTCGCAGTTGTCTTTTTCATGTGCATACAGATTGCATTTGCGTTGGGCTGTCATATTGCTATTTATTACTCCATTATTTATTTCTATGTCAAAATCTGAACTGCATTTATTACATCTGGTATTAAGCCTGTCAAATAACCATTTGACATCAATATATTGTTTGTTGTCTATTTCTCTCTCTGCTTTTATGTCTTGTAATTTATATTGTTTAATCTTATGTTCTAAATATCTGGCTACTTGTGCTTCATTTAAATCAGTATCATCTACGTCTGCTTTGAAAAACTTGACTTTATTGATATCTCTGCATCTCGTGAGGGCTGTCCAAATCCACTCACGGCTGACCAAATGTGATTTATCCCATTCGTGTATAGTAATGCTTTTATCTAGAGAAGCCCCTTGAGACGAATGACATGTAGCACAATACGCATGTATAAAGTGCTTGTCTAAAGTCGTGGTGTTTGTCATGAATATAGTTTTACTTTTGATATCTTGGATTTCTAC